CCCTCCCCAGCAAAACCAGAGCTGGTGGGAGATGGAAACTCTATCAGCGTCAGCTGCTCCCGTTGGTCCATCAGGCAAGTGATACCCACGGGCGGTGGTGGGACGTCGCTCGTTGGGACAGAGCTGCTCTTGTCCGCTGGGTTTTGTGCAGCCCTTTGGCAGGCAGCTTGCTTCTGACGACACGAAAAAATTCAGGAATCGCTTTTTCTTGAGAGATTCCCCGTGGACCTTCCCCTGTTGAAACGAATGAAACAGCCACTGTCTTCATCTGTTATCTACCAGAGGCGGGGGCGGGGACTCCATTCCTCTGCCGACCCGTCGCTGGTGAGATAATCAAGGGCTCGGGTGTAGCCGGGATTTCTGGCTGTTTTCCTGGTTTTAAGGCCAGTGGAAAGTTTCCACCGTGCCTAAAGCTGCGGTCGTACGGCCCTCTTCATAGCCGTGTCAGTCCTGCCTGAGGATTTGGGCATCCTTCTTCCCATCGCGAGGGTTAATCTTGACGTGTCGCCGCCACCGGCAACCCGACCTCTGAATTTTTGCAGTTTTGTTGGAAAATGGTGAGAAACCTGATTTTCTAGATGCCCTTGCAGTTGGGAGTTGCACTTAGTGGCATTAGAATTTGCAGCCTGTTTTGAAATCCGGCTTTTTGCCTGATCGTTCTGCGGACGGGATGGGTGTGACTTCCCCGTCTAGATTGCATCCAGGTGTGGTTGGATGTCCAGCTCCCCCTGAAATTAATTGCAATTAGCTGCCTGAATTAGAGACTTTGGAAAATGCAGTGAAATCTCTGGTGGCCCTTTGAATATCCTTACAAATTCTGAAATAAGCAGATTTACCCTCACTGGTGTGTATTGGCAGGTTTCCTGGTTTCTCTTTAGCTTCCAACTAGCTGCTGGAGATTTAAAGAGCCCGTGAACCAGCACTTGCTCTTTTTTTAAAGACTGATGGCATCGTAGAAATGTATATCACTGCATGCTGCGTCCGTAAGATCAACAGATAGTCT